GAAGGGGGAGGGATAGAGCCCCAGAACGATCCATAAGAGAGAAACATTAACTTAAAAACCGGCTATAGGAGGTCGGGGGGTGAGGGTATGACGGGGGGGGGGGCTAGGGGGTAATATCTTAATCAATAAAAAAATATATTAAAAAAAAAAGAATACTTAGAGGGAATTGACTGAATACAACAGACTGCTAAGACCTAGAAAGTGAACATATCCAAATATTGTTCATTCAAGATAAAAGCCTGTCTAAATTTTATCTTTTTAAGAAATCATAAGGTCCAATATCATAGAGCTAGGTTTGGAAGAGAGAAGAATTAGAGTCCTTAGAATGACATCAATATAAATTACTTCATTTTCACCAGAAACTATTAATCTTTTCTATTTACCTGCCACACTGCTATTCCTCTGACGGGCCAGCTTGACCTCTGGGCACTCCCTTCTTACATGTCCCGCATCTCCACATATGAAACATCTGAGGTCTCGTGGTTCTCTGAAGTCTCGAGTTTCATGGAGGTCTCGAGGGTCCAGGTCTCGAGAGTCTTTCTCTTCTTCATTCCCTTCCTTCTCTTCTTCACTATCTTTCTTCTTTACTCTAAACAGTAAACTGCTGATACCAATAATGTGGGGCTAGGGACTTGTAAACTGAGGGAGTCACAGAACAACTAAACTATACAAGAGTCTCATAATTAAAAGAACTAACATGCCCATGTTTCATGCATCTTTTTGAAGGCAAAGGAACTCACATTTATAGCACACCTACTCATATGGCAAAACCTGGGTATTCCAGTACTTTATAATAAAGTATCAAATTAAAAACATTTTTAAAACATCTAAGTTTAATCTTGTAACAATCCTTAGATATTGGTATTTATTATCTTCATTTTACAGGGGAAGAAACTGGGGTTTAGGGAAGATAAGTATCTTGCCTAAACTTAGCAAATAAAATAGCAGTGATAAAAACTAGAGAGCCTGTTCTCCCTGAAAAGTGCTAAGCCTTTATAATTAGGAAAAACATGCTAACTAAAGAAGGGATTTTCCTGGCCTATTAAACACAGTACATATATATAATGCAGGAAAGTATTTTTCATAGGTATATTTTTAAGGGGTACATAAAATGCACATTCCTTAAAGTAAATGTTATATACCTCAAAGCATATACCTAAAAAATTCAGTTAATTATATTTTAATTATCAGTAAGACTGTGAGGTTCTCAGCCAGAATCCCATGACTTGGTCTTTTTTTTTTCTTGGCTCCTAGCACAGTTCCCAGCATACAGTAGGTGTCAATAAATGCTTATTCAATTAAAAAAACAAAACATTAAATAAATGAATGAATATTGAGACACCATGGTACCACAAATAAAGCCCTGAACTTTCTCACTTAAAGATATCTGAAAACAGTTATAGCTACAATTGACCTTAACTTTAATTTCCCTGTAACATTGATACAAAATCATTTGCCAACCTTCTCCTTTTAGGACAGTCTTTCATGTAGTGGCCTATTTTTCCACAAACACGGCAACATCGATCATTGGGAGCCAGTTCTCCATCTGTTAATACTCTGGAATCAAAGAAGTACTCCTAGGGAGAAAATACAACTTTATCAGAAAAAAAAATCACTATAAACTTTTTAAAACAAATGGAAAGGAGACCAAGATGCAAAAGTGGTTTTTTAAAAAAATAAAATAAATAATAACAAATATTTCACTGCAATTAAAATGATGTAAAAATGAGATTCATAGGAAACAAAATGAAAACACCAAAAAAAAACTAACAAAAAAAATGAGATTCAGAATTATCATCATCAATATCTCAGTTGCTAACAGTACCAAACACTTTACACCCACAGTTTTCTCATTCATCTGCAGCATCTCTGCATAATATCTCAATATAGTAGATACTATATTCATTTTTATTTCATACTTGAGGAAACTTAGCTTCAGAAAAGTCATTTGCCCATAGTAAAAAAGCTGATAAGTAGCGGATAAAGAAAGTATTTAAAGCTAAGTCTATTTGACTCCAAAGCGCATGCTTATTGCTATAGCAGGCTACTTCTGGAAAGGAATTATTCTCTATAAAAGAGCTCTATGTAAATAAGAAAATCTTTTGATATTTTTAGTATTTTTAAAATTAATTTTAGAGAAAGAGGAAGGGGAACAAAGAGAGAGAGAGAATCATCAATGAGAGAAAATATCAACATCGATCTGCTGCCTCCTGCATGCCCCCAGCTGGGGATCAAGCCCATAACCTAAGTCATGTGTCCTGACCAGGAACCATCGAACTGGTGACCTCTTGGTGCATGGGTCGATGCTCACCGGCTGGGTGAACCAAGCTCACTTTTGTTTTATGAGAGTACCTTAAGCTTTAGCTCCATTTGGCACTATCACAAAGACTAGCCTGTTCTGACAGTACACACATCTCTGGAAAGCAAGAAAAGATATCTCCTTGGTGTTCGTCAAATCTATCTAAAGTCAAGGATAAAAGTAGGAGACATACTCACAATAATAAGTATTGGTGAGGATGCAGAAAAACTAGAACACACATATATTGATGGTGGAAACATAAAATAGCACAGCTGCTTTATAAAACAGTTTGGCAGTTCCTAAGAAAAGTTAACATAAATTTGTCAAAACGACCCAGCAAGTCCACTGTTAGGTATATACATACCCCTAAAATGAAAACATCCATCCAGACAAAAATTTGTACAGAAGTATTCACAGCAGTGTTACTCATAATTGCCAAAAACTATAAAATACACAAATGGTCAACAAGTGAATGGACGCATAAAATGCGATATATATCCATTCAATCATAAAAAGGAATGAAGGAATGAAATTCTGATACATGCTACAACATGAAGAAGCTCTAAAGAGATGACACTAAATGAAAGAAGTCAGTAACAAAAGGCTACACATTCTATGATTCCGTTTATATGAAATATACACGATAAACAAATTTACAGAAACAAAAAGTAGATTAGTGGTTTGAGGAGTGGGAGAGAGAATGAATGGGGATTGACTATTAATGGGAACAGGAGTTTCCTTGAGAGAGGATGAAAATGTTCTAAAATTAGATTGTGGTGGCAGTTGTACAATCCTGCAAGTATACCAAAAAACACTGTATTGCTCACTTTATATGGATGAATTATACAGAATGTGAATTATATTTCAATAAAGCAGTATTTTTAAAAATTCCTCACATTTACTACTGATGAAACCAATGTAGCTAAATAAAATCATCATATTTTTTTCCAGGACAAAATGAAGGCCTTTCTCAATTCACTCAGTTGCCTAAGGCAGAAACCTAGGAGTCATCCTCAACTTCTTCTCCTGCACCATAACCTGTAGTTAATCACCAAATTGCATCCATTCTATTCCTGAATCTCTTTAATCCACCCAGGTAAGGTGACCTAGACCTGGGGTCAGCAACTTTTTCTATAAAGGGCCAGATGGTAAATATTTTAGGTGTTGTGGCAAAACTGAAGATAGTATGTAGGTTAGGTGCTTACATAACAAAAGAGAAAGCAAATTTCCTCAAAAAATTTATATTAAAAAATTGCAAAATATACTAATTGAATAGAATTTTTTGTAATACAAGTTTACTAATTAACTAATGTCCCTCAGAAAGAGACATTTCTCTTAGTTGAAGTTTAAAGTTAGTATTCCCTATAATTAAAATCAATGGCAAATGTTCATGTATTAAATCAGGGGTGGGGAACGTCTGGCCCGTAGGCCATATAAGGCCACGGAAATCATTTGGTCAGGCCCTGCCAAGACATTAGGGGTGAGTTAATTAAATGCTTGACCAAATATATCAGGATAATTTTTAAGTTGATAATTTTGTATGGCTCTCGAATTATGTTATAAATATCCAAATGGCCCTTGGCAGAAAAAAGGTTCCCCACCCCCTTGTAAAATGCTAATCTGCAATTACATTTTATGTATTTCATCTTTGAAAATATCTTCACAGATAAAGAGGCTGAAGACTCAAGAGAATAATAAATGGATCTATGGAAGTGCATATGGAAGGACCAGTCTCTGATAAAGGAGAGAGATCTGCAGATGCAGGCAGAATTATAGATCTGGTAGCCAACTGTTGAAGGAATTGCTCTGATACTTTTTGTCTCAGAGAGAAAACATCTAAGAGTGAGAATGGCAGAGGTGAAAGGTGGGACAAAATGCAATGGGTATTGACTTTTGAATAAAATAAATGAAATTTCAAATAGTTCTTATTGAATAGGAAATACAGGTAACTAAAGAAATCTAATAAGAATGTCAGATAATGCCAAACAAAGAATGAAATCTTACCATTTGTGACAGCATGGATGGACCTGGAGGATATTATGCTAAGTGAAATAAGTCAGAGAGAGAAAGACATGATATGATTTCATTTATATCTGGAATCTAAAGAACAAAACGAACAAACAGAACAGAAACAGACTCATAGACACAGAGAACAGAATGATGGTTGCCAGAGGGAAGGGAGATTGGGGAACTGGGTAAAAAAGGTGAATGGATTAAGAAGTACAAATTGGCGGTTACAAAATGGTCATGAGGATGTAAAAGTACAGCATAGGGAATATAGTCAATAATCCTATAGTAACTACATATGGTGCCAGCTGAGTACTTGAAATATCAGGGGTATCACTTTGTAAAGTATATGATTGTCTAACCACTATGCTGTACACTTGAAACTAATACAAGATAATACTAAATGTCAACTATCCTTGAAATATAAAATAAAATTTAAAAGTCAGATAATATCAGAAGTCCAGGTGAGAGTGGTGAACATTAATTTATAATTTATTATATAAGTAAAACTACCTCAGTTTATGACTTTTTCCACCAGTGCTTAGCAGTCCAGCAAAGACAGATGGTGGATGGTTAAATTCATGTCAGGTTGAACACATCAGGTGCAAAAGGACAATGGAACAAAGGAATTTAAAGTATATGCCAAAAAGTAGACCAGGAATATAAGTTAAAAGGAGAGAAAAATGAAGACAGAAAACTGACAGAATGAGAGAAAATGGGTCAATATACCAGAGGACCTAATGACGTAGAATAGTTGAAGTAGAAATATTTAAGTGAGCAAGAAAGGTGAAAGAAAATATAGTTGTCTTCATTTTCACTAGTGTTTAAGGAATGAGACACATCTATTTTGTATGCTGTTATAATCCTTGTACATAGCAGAAAAACAGTTACAAAGTAGAAATTCAATCAACATCTACTGAAAGAATAAACTTTACTGTGGAAAATATAAGCATGAAAGACTATTAAACAAGGATATTTGTTATAATATCCGTTATAATACTGATATAATAAAAACAACTTAATGTCCATCAAAGAAAAATATTAAACTGATAGATCCAAGCTACAGAATACTACGTATTGTCCTTTAAAACAGAATAAAGAAGATCAAAAAATGGTTAGCAGCTCTGGCCAGTGGGTGTTGCTTAATGGTTAGAGCGTCGGCCCTCATACCAAAAGGTTGTGGGTTCGATTCCTGGTCACAACACAAACCTGGGTTGCAGTTTCGACCCCCAACCCCAGTTGGGGTGCGAATGGGAAGCAACCAGTCGATGTATCTCTTTCACATAGATGTTTCTCTTTCTCTCTCCCACTTCTTCCCTCCATTCCACTCTCTAAAAATCAATGGAAAAAATATCCTCGGGTGAGGATTAACAACAACAACAAAATGGTTAGCAGATCCATAGGCCTCTATTGATAGGCCCCAAACTCATGTCTGGCTCTTACACCAAATGAGTCAAAATCACAGACGCTAATATTTATTAGGACTACTTATAACATATTGAGTTATTAAGAGTTACTGACACTTTGTTATCACAGACTAAAATGAGCACATTTCCAGTTTACTAAGGACTCTAATTTATTTATTTACTTATTCTAAAAAGTCTGAATGCATGAAATTGCTAGGTTCCCACTAAAGATGTGCATGTGTTCACACTAATAGTTGGAATTTCCATAATTTTCAGGTAAAATGCCTTATCAGTGCATATTTAACTATGCTTTTCATTTATTGTTTTAATTAATCTCTATTATAAAAAACCCCGTGGCCATCACGCCGTCACAACCAAATGCCAAAAGGCACCTGCTTAACGCCATATGATTTCTTCATGGGAACAAGTAAGTGTTGCTCTGTTCAATTCTCATCTTCCAATGAAGGTCAATTTAAGTGCTCCTGAGAAGGAAGGTTAGGGCAGGAAACTATTCTTATCTCGTCCACAACTGTCTTCAAGGTGGGCGGGGCTGCATGTGCGGGTGGGCAGGGACTTGACACTGGGTCTCCTGCGATTTCGCACGGTGGGCCTCTAGTATTTTAATAAACTTATTGGATTTCCCTTTTATTAGATATTTTGTTCATGTATGACTCTTGTATTCTTTCAAACTTTATTGTCATTTTTCGTCTCTCCCTTGTAATCATTTTTACCCCAAGAGGTAAAACAAAACAAAAATTGAGCCTTAGCTTGTATGGCTCAGTGGATAGAGTGTTGGCCTGCAGACTGATGGGTCCCGAGTTCGATTCCAATCAAGGGCACATGCCCGGGTTGCAGGCTCGATCCCCAGTGTGGGGTGTGCAGGAAGCAGCCAATCAATTATTCTCTTCATCATTGATGTTTCTTTCTCTCTCTTTTTCTCTCTCTCCCTCTTCCTCTCTGAAAGAAAAAACAAACAAAACAAAAAAGAAAAAAAATAAACAGGTCTAAGAACCAATGCCCCAGGGGGAAAAAGCTCAGACTTCTCTGCTTTCCTCATCCCACACCCCTAAGAAAAAGTCCTAAAAGTGGACTGAACAAGATCAAGGATATTCATTATGAATAGTAGAAACATGGTTTCTCTCTTGAGATTACTTCTCTTTGGAGTTTCTTTCTCTGTGAAACTAAGATCTCTTCCATTGGAAAGCAAACAAAAACCAGGGTGAGATCGCCTTGGCTCAGTTGGTTGGAACGTTGCCCTGTATACCAAAAGGTGGCAGGTTCAATTCCCAGTCGGAGCCTATCATACCCAGTTCGATCCCCAGTCGGAGCCCTACAGTAGGCAACTGATTGATGTTTCTCACTCACACTGATGTTTCTCTTTCTCTCTTTATTTCTCTCCTTCCCATAACCCCCTTCCTCTTTTTAAAGTCAATTTAAAAAAAAAAATGAGTTAGGAAGTACTTCGATCTCTAAAAAAAAAAACAAAAAACAAACAAACCAAAGTGAGATCAAGAGGAATGGCGGATACTATGCTACCCAGTTCAGGCAAAAGGAATCCTCTTAATCCATGCTAATTCAGCTTACTAATGCTACATCAAAATTAGAAGCGCCTCAGCAAATAAAGTATTTTTTGGTGTTGTCCTCTCTGTTTATATTTTCATAAATATTTCAAGAGATAGAGTTGCAGTGGGTAGCACCTCAAATTCAAAATTTAAGGATTCTGAGTCTCGACTATCCTCCCTTAGTCATTCAACAAATGCTTATTTGATACATGCTTTTTGTCAGACACTATGATAGGCACTGGAGCTATGATGGTAAATTTTATGGATATGGACCGTCCTCATGGAAATATAGTCTAGTGGGAAGATAGAATTTAACAAATAAACAAATAGATAAACAAAATTTAGCAAATGGGTATCTTATTATGGACTATGATAAGTGCAATTTTCTCTGTCCCTACGTCTAACACCAACTTAGAAATAAGAGTAGGTTCTTGTACTATTAAAAAAAAAACTTATATAAGAAAAAAGAAGATTCAGAATTCAAATAATGTCAACTTACAGCTTCTCTGCCAATGAGTGGATAAAAGGGAGTACCAAAAAGTTTCCTTCCATTGATAAATGCCTTCATGATGAAATTGGTCACTATTGAAGAAAGAAACAACAATAAAGATATAGATCTTAATGTGTAAGAGCTTTAAGAGCAGGGAATTTCTACATTTAAAACTTACTTTTTCTAGAAACTCCAGCACCAAGATTATGATTCAAGTCAAAAGGATCTAGAAAAGAAAAATTTTCTTTTTAATTGAGAATTACGTTCATTGTAACATTAAATATTCTTAGTAGTCATGACTGCAACCTAATACTATGTAAATCAGATCACCCAAGCAGCAAATTATTTTTTAAATTATAAATTAAAGGATGGAAACTGATAAAAATCAAAAGAATCTTCCAAAATCTAATATGTTTCCGTTTTCCCCTCATTTCCCTTGACAACATGAAATTGGCTTTTCATTTTATTTTGTTTCTTAATGAATATCAGTTAAATGATTACCTTCGATTGCAATGCATTTGGACGTCCACTGCTTTTCAAAAGTTGTTAACAGCTTTTTCTGCCGAATGCTAATTACATATTCCTTGAAATCAAACTCTTCAGTATAGAAGCGAAGCAGTCCCAACCAAAGCTCTCCTAATGTTTCTGTATTCTTTCCAAGTGAAGGTAAACGTTTTTTCTACAGGTGAGAAAAAAGAAAGAGAAATATCTCAACTATCCAAAATATAGACTCTAAATCCAAGTAAAATTATTAAATTAAATTATGTCAATCCTAACATTTATCAGTCAGCATTCCATAACATAAAGATTACTTAAAAATTACCAGTTCTTCTGTTTTATCAAAGAAAAAAGCATTCCATCCATCAACCATTCTCTGTGGAATCTGTTTTCCATCAAAGATCTGCATAAAAAATTAATTTTATTATTAGATTTTAAGTCATCCAAGCCAACAACCTAAATACCCTCACCTCATTTTAAAATTTAGCTGTAATAGACATACTGAAATATTTCTTCCAAAATGAGTATGTTAGGATGGTATAATTTGATGTCAAGTTATTAATGAATAAAATGTATCTGAAAGACCAAAGCTGGGAAACAATATCTTAAGAGCATAAGACTCTCCAAATGACACATTTGATATTATTTGATGTTACCAATTGACCTGTCAAAACACATCCAGTCCAAAATAAATAAAATAAAACTAAAGTAAATCAAATGAAAACAGCATTTTCATCCAAGAATCATGGATGTAGAAATACATAATACATAATATATCTATTGATTGTGCTCCCAAAGGAAATCAATGGAATTATTTGTTTTGGGGAAGGGTCTAGTACCTTTAATCTTTATCACATGAGGCTAAAAAGCCCCCTGGACATTGATTTAAAAACCAAAACAAAATAAAAAAAAATTTAAAAAAACGAAAATTAGGAAGCTTTCTCTGACATGTTGATAAAGATTGTAAAATCTTCATGATTAATTATAATAATACACTGTCCTAAAGAGGGGGGAGGGGTAACGCTAATTTACTAGAAGAAAACTACCCCAGAAGATGATTGTATAGGCACAACTAACCTAACCTCTACAAGCAGTTTTTTGAGACTCATTCTCTAAAGGCATTTTAACAGATATAATCAATTAGAAAGTTACAGTAAGTTAAGAGTCAGCAGAACTTATTTCTAGTCTTAGTCTTGCCGAGTAGTGATTCTGAGCAATATAATTATGTTCCTAAATCCTCCGTTTTCCCAATGAAAATGAGAGATGAGATTAATTAGGTCAGTTGTTTTCAAATTTTATCTTTCTGTTAAGCTGTAAAACTCTTTCCTAAAATGCAACCTTCCTTGAAGTTCAGAAGTGTAAAACATATAAAAGCAAAGGCACTCTGATAGAAGCCAGTGGAGAAAACACATCCCATTTTTCCTTACCCCACTCCTCATACATACCCTAATGAGTTCCTAAGAGTTTACCAGAATGTATACTTTAAAACCACTAGATAAGGTGGTCCCTAAGGCCCCTTGCATTTTAGATGGGACAATGAATTATAAAATTAACTACATGTCTGGTCCCTCTAATTCACTCTCAGGTTTAAGTTCTTTGTGGGTATAATTATCCACTAAAATTCCTACTATTACATCAAAGCCTGCCATATAGAGAATATTTAATTTATGTTTACTGAATGAATATTTCTACTCTGTAAGCACATATACATAAAGACAATTTCAAGGGACTTGAGCTAATAAATTGTTTTTTATATTTACATATAACTTAAACAAATACAGTTACCAAGAATCATCTAGCATAAATTCAGACTTTTATAGAACAAAAAAGGTAGAAATTACAGCTATTAATATCTAAAACAAAATACATGGGATCCTGCCCTCAAAAATGAAATGCAGGTTTTAAAGAGGCCAAAATATTTGATGCTTTTATATTTATTACAGGGGAATGACACAAGATACCTCTTTAGACTTTGATTCTTTTTTAAGAAGATTCTTACTTTTTGAGTAACAACTATGATCCAAACCCAACTATGTTGGTTGATAACACAGTAAAGTGGACCTGTAGGCCTTAGAGGGTAATCACTGATTTGTCTGTTTTTATAAACAATCTTGTTTTACAATGCCTAACTTTCCACTCCGACTCAGCCCTTAGAAGCACTAATGGTATCTTCTCTTACTCTTACACACACACACACACACACACACACACACTCTTTCTTATCTTTTAACACCAATTATTCTCCACTCAAGCACTCAGTCCTCCCTCTGAAACCTCACCAAACAATTCAATCATATTTGTATAAAGAGTATCCCTGTACATTTCCATATTTACTTTCTTATTGTAATATTTTAGTATTTACTGCTATTTTTAAATTGCAATTTCTTAGTTGTAAAATACATATAAAATTACCCATCTTAAACATTTTAAGTGTACAATTCAGTGGCATTAAGTACATTCCCATTGTTGTGCTCACCTATCCACAGAATTATTTTCATCTTGCAAAAATAAAACTCTGAACCTATTAAATAATAATTGCCCATTCCTGTCTCCCCACAGCCTCTGGCAACCAGCATTCTACTTTCTGTCTATGAAGGTGACTACCCTCATTTAAGTGAAACGGTACGGTATTTGTCCTTTTGTGACTGGTTTGTTTCATTTAGCACAGGCTCACCCATTCAACAGCAATTTTTAAGCTGATATAAACTACGAAAACATAGCAGTCATAATATCAAGTTTGAGGAACACTCCTATTTTAAGTGAAAATGAAAATTTACTTTTACTTAAGATGATCTGCTAGAATACAGCAAAATCATTCTACTTAGAAAAGCTCCTTTTGACCTAAAGAATTTTGTATTGTTGACCATTAAAAACAGTCTTTGCAGGGCCTTATTTATACCTAGTCACTTAAAGTCTAGGTTCAATCACAAATGGAGTCAAAGATCATCAGCTTCATTAAACATATCCTTACCCTTAAAAGTTGATCGATGCCAATGACCAATACTTAAATGATGCCAGAGCAATGGACAATGGGGTCCCATATGACAAGCAAAAAAGGCCAGAAGCAAAAATCCATATATCATCAGTTCATATGTATCACAAAGCCCCCCATAATCACAGCTCATTATGATGGAAAACATTCCATGGACTGTCTCATTTCATCAATCATTGTCTGTTAAGCAGATAATGGGAGAGTTCTTGAAGTTGGCTATGGCAATCCTACCTACATTTTTCCAATAATAATATTAGTAAAGCTGCTAATGATAATAACAAAAACAACCACCATTTATGAACACCTATTTTATTAGCACCTATAACATTCAAAATAATTCATTGTCTCTGTTCCCTATATTAACACCGAAATACCATTATTACATTTTCACTCAAGACTAGTGGTGGTCAGACACCTTTTTGAAGGCCACAATGTCAGAATTAGGATTCAAACCAGTTATTTCTGGCCCCCAAATCATGCCCTGCTCTTTCCATTGTATCATGCTGCCTCAGTGGCTCCTCATCCATAGGTAATATAATTCGAGAACACAGACAAACCACCATAATTTATATTCCATTTTAGTAAAGCATAGTATTCTGTCAAAGTCATAGAAAATCATAGCAAATGGCTGCACTGGGCAAATATGCAAAATATCGCCAAATATAAGGCCTTAGTAACAATTATACTAATACAGAGAATGACCTTGACCCTGGCAGGCCTAATAAATTCATGATAAATTTTAAATATCCTTCAGAGAACAATTTTGTTTAAAAAAAACACACATCACTCAACATAGATTCAGCAACTTAAAATTTTCTGCTGGAAAATGACATTTACAATCTTTATTTCTCTTCCACTGTTTAAAAGAGGGAAGGAAATGCTTCTAAAACCAGGACATTCATTAGAACTTTTAAAAGCTTACTAAGACCATCTGACACCCACCATATGGCTTGCTATTTTGTAATTTTCTTCTTTGACATGACTACCAAAGTTTATGTGAAATTAGAATATGTGATTTACCAGGCAATTCTGATGCTTCTCTCCTTCCTCAAAATAATGACCTTTCTAAGAAATTAGATCTGGATCCTCTCTAATGTTTGCAAATCCATTTTGTGACAAAAATGAGGAGGAACAGATAGATGATTAAGAACTCCTCTGTACTTGCCCCAGTCAGTGTGGCTCAGTTGAGCACTGTCCCGTGCACTGAGAAGATGCCAGTTCAATTCCCAGTCAGGACACATGCCCGGGATTGTGGGCTCAATCCCTAGCAGGGAGTGTGCAGGAGGCAGCTGATCAATGTTTCTCTCTCTCTCTCCCTTTCCCTTCCTCTATCTCTAAAATCAATAAAAAACATTTCTTTTTTAAAAGAACTCCTTTGTACCTATTTCAGAGAATATAAGTTGGCTACAAAAAGGGACTCTGAGTCACCAAGTCTGAGTGAATACGAGTAAAATCTGTTTCTTTTGATGCATATTCTTATGTTTAATGCAATTAACATGACCCTACAGAGATGAGGAAGAATTTCCTTGGGTTTTCTCTCAACCAAAATTCACAAAGTTGACCAAAATATAAACAGGAATAAATCAAACTTCCTTGCCAAGCAAAAGGAAAGAGAATACTCTGAAGAGAAAAAACTTAGTATTTGCATCTGAGACTAATATATGAGTTCATAGATGGCTATATAAATTTAATAATGATCTGCAGCATTCTGACGGTAAGATACAAAAATGTTACAAAAGATATTCAATAGTACTGTTCATCAATTATTTTTTTGGTAGTCTATATTCTCCCATAATAAACTTTTTTAAAGGTTCATTGTTTGATTATACCATTAACAGAAGAAGAAAACTTAGGATGTCATGATGAAAAAAATCCTTCATAATCTCATGAACTGAGCAAGATCTATGTGTTTAGATGGATTGTTCTCACAAGAAACTCCTTTACAATTTTCTTAAACACCTACCTCTTGTAGAACTGGGATAACAGGTGGTTTTCTCTGCTGCAGAAAGTACAGCACCATAAGGATATAAGCATATGAAGACAAACTTCCCCTGGAAGCATCTCCAATATCACATCGCTAAAGAAACATAACAATGATTAAAAAAACTTCAGAATCTTATTCCATGCAGAATACTGACTAGTTTGAGACACTATTTTTTCTCAACTCATCAAACTGGCAAATATCCAAAAGTTCAATAACAAACTGTCATAGAGGGTGTGGGTAAACAGGTATTTATACATACAGATGTATAAGTTAGCATAAATTCTATGAAGAATAATTTGGCAATATCAAAATTACAAGGGCAATTTCGTTTAACCTAGCCGTTCTGTTCTAATAATTTATCCAGCAAATATGTGATAAAAAAAAACACAATGTAAAATGACTAAGAAGTGTTTTCATTGTGACATTGTTTTAATAGCAAAAAATCACAAACAACTTAAGGTATCAGTATAGCACAGATTTTAAAAACTAATGAGTATCCACATAATGGAATAATATATAATCATTAAAAAAGAACAAAGAAGCTATTATATATTCATATAAAATAATCTCCAATATCTATTGCTCAGTAAAAAAAGTAAAGCGCAAAACAGTGTTTTCAATGTCAATACCTGTAATAAGAATGAAGTAGGAAATTTCGGTACTGGTATATTTCTGGAAGAATGAAGAACTTTTGACAATGGGTGCCTTCAGCAAGAGGTACTGATAGGCTAGGAGATAGCTGTGGAAGGTAGATTTTCCACCATAAACCCCTTTGTTTTTTAAAAATATATTTGTGTTGATTTCAGAGAGAAAGGAAGAGGGAGAGATAGAAACATCAATGATGAGAGAGAATCATTGATTGGCTGCCTCCTGCACACCTCCTACTGGGGATTGAGCCTGCAACCTAGGCATGTGCCCTTGACAGGAATCGAACCTAGGACCCTTCAGTCCACAGGTTGAAGCTCTATCCACTGAACCAAATCGGCTAGGGCTCCACCATAAACCCCTTTAGACGTTTTGAATTCTGAACCACATGTTTTTTAAAAAATTAATAAAAACACACAAAATGAACCCTCAGAGACTTCCCTCGAGTAAAGCTTTAGCTGCTATTATTTTAAGGGAGAGGAATGATTTCCTTGACATGAATCACTCGGTTTTATTACTAAAATTCCATAGGAGTACCGAACTGTCATGTTGGAGACAGTTTATGAGGTGAACCCAGAAAAGTAGCTCTATCAAATATGATTTGTAGGCATGGGAGTTGGCTTACCATCTAGTTAAGAATCTCTGGGTTAGGAAATCTCATGTTGGGGTTGAAAATCATTATCACATTGAGAAATTTTGTCAATGACAAATTTACCAGTTACATACGGAACTGGAGCACGCACAGGAAAAAACTAAGAATTACCCTACTCAAATAGGTATAAATTAAACCATTAACATTGAGGGCTTCTTTTTAAAAGTTCAGGTAAACAAAAATCAGAAATTATTTTTCACAAGTGTGACATCAGTATGTTTCATTTGAACAATCATGAGTCTTACAACAAAGCAGATCATTAATTTTTTAATACATACCTTAGCAAACACTTTCATAGTATATCCCAAGTACTGCACTCTAGGATCAATAGCTGCATAAGTAGCTAGCATTCTTGTGTTATGTTGAGCCTGAAAAATAATTACATATTTGAAATCACTTCAAATTTATTAAAAATTAGATAAAACAAGAGAATACACTCTAAAGGGAACATATAAATGTAAACTTAAAATACCTATAAGTAAGTCAAAAACTAATTTTCAATCTGAAATATCAAGATGATTAATTTTTCCCCTTAAACCACTCACATTTGAAAGCTTTAAATATAAATGTATAGTCAACAATCTATAAACTTTTTCAATGACAAGTGTAAACATATCTAGGTCTATAAAGAAAGAAAAACTTACCAATGTATTATACAAACTGATGTCACCTTCTAAACCACTTCGTCTGTGTTCGAATTTTACTATAGGCACTTTGGCAGTAGTTATAGGCAAAATATTTCTTAAACCTGATTAAAAAATAAAACTTCACTAAGTTAAATAATTTTCAAAATGCTAAAAAATATTTTCTGTTGTTTTAAAGTTATAATTTAAAATTCATACCTGGATGTCTCTTAAGAATTTTTGCCAAATTTTCTATTATTTCCTTACAATTTAATTTCTAAAAAAAAAGAAAGAAACAAAGAAATAATAAAATTTGTCTGACTCAATTGGGTCTTGTACAAATTCCACTTTAATCTAGGCACTTAATACTAGCATTTAAAATCTGTAGCCATAAGCTCTATGTAACCTTTTACTTAAGTATATGGTCCAAGGACCTGTCAGCATCATCTGGAAACAAAAGAAATGCAGAATCTCAGGCCCCACCTCAATCTACTGAATATAATTCACATTTTATCAAGATCCCCAAGTAATCCACGTCCACATTAAAGTTTGAGAAGCACAAAGACAAGAGGACAATGTTTTCAAATATGTGAAGAAACAACTACAGGTGGCCTTGGTGAAGGCAAAACAATTTAGTGATTAAGAACATAGGCTCTCAACTTAGACAAATTTGAATTCAAATCTTAAATTAAGTACAGTACTGAGTAGCTATGTGACTGTCCAGATTCTTAACCCCTCTGAGCTTCATGCTACTATTCTATAAAATTGAGATAATTATAATCTCTCATGTAATTAGAGAGATTACATGAGACATGTATGTAAAGCATTTAGCAGCATGCTTGGCGCAAAATAAGTATTTTAAGTCTGTGGGCTTTTTATTATTATGTTGACCAATAAAAGAAAAATAATCCTATTGTAACCAGCATCTACTTCTTCAAGGAAATTCTTACTCTGCATATTTAAATGCTGACTTTTTAAAAACTAGACAGCAGAGTTGCTATGGTAATGCTATCCATGATAAAAGAAACAGGAAAGATAATGGCATTATACATTAACTGCACTAAGTTAAAGGGTATTTACATCAATGCCCACACTTGCTACTAAAATCACTTTTGCATATCCCCAACATGCTCTTTTTAGCTTCAAGAAAGCAGTAGCCATTGCAGCTTAACTAGGGGATTTCAAGGGAAACTTTATTTACTAATTAACACACAATAAAATAAGAGGTTATTTTCCTCTTATTATGCAAGAATGTAAATGTATGATAAATTTTAAGTTTTCAATTATGGCTCATCTGAAAAAAAAATTATTCTTTTTCACTGTTTCAACCTTCCACAGATTACATGCAATACATAAACCCTTAGTAATTAGAAGTCTGATTATTAAATTTTATATAGGAGATACCTAAAACTCTAACCTCTTCCCTAGATAAAAATTATTTTTAATTCCCTCAATTTTTGATCTTCAAAATGGAAAGGGGCATCTCTCCAGGTAGATGGCACCTGAATAGTTAGTTAAAAAGAACTAAAATATTTTACAACTTTTCAGTTTCTTTATAGAATAAGAAGATGTTAATAAACACCAGAAGCAATTTCTTAGAGCCAGAAATAAGGATCTACCAGATATCACTGCCATCTCTACTCTGGTTCTAACAATTCTAAAACCACTTTTTGAAAAAACTATTTCAGAAACACATAGTTCACTATTCTGCTGAATTCTTTTATAATACAACAGAGGCTATACTGACACCACTACAGATAGCCAGAAGCTTGGCCTCGCCCCAACCTTTCAAGTAATAACTATAAACAGCAATAACTATGCTAGTAAGGGAATGAGCAACTATAGGGATCCCCTCCTTTTCTAGTTGCTGCTAGGCAGGCCTGGGATACTTTTTCTTGTCCCATCAGCCCCTTTCTTTACTGGAGCTTGGACAATCTTGTTTCCACTGTTGAGGCCTGGTACACAAAGAAGAAAGGCCTACCTACCCACTCCCACTGATGAAAGTGCTTTGGGGGAAGGTCTGCTCCTGGCATCTCAAGGTGGAACTCAGAAAGCTTTCAATTTCAGAAAGTAGTGGTTAAGGTCTACAGAATCATTAGTACTATATTTCAACTACATTTTAGGTTAAATAAATTACAGAGAAGCAGTGAGATACAATGAAAAGAACATGAACTCTGGAGTCAGACAGACCTGGGTATGAATCCCAGCTCCATCATTTATTAGCTGTGAACTTGGGCAAGTACGTTTATCTTTCAAAGCCTCAGTTTCATCTGTAAAATGGGGGAAATTTTCTACCTCAAAGGTGGTTGTAAGAGTGAAATGAGATTATGTAAAAGTGTATACAAGGGACTCAACAAATTTTAATTTCCCTCCTCAATCAAAATGAGTTTCTAAAAGCTATCCTATATATTATGTGCTATTGAGTTGGCTACAAATCCTGGAGACCCTATGAATGTCCACAATGTCCTGACCTCAATAGCCCAACTCAGCTCCTGTAGACTCATGCCTATGCGCTTCTTCTATAAAGTCAATCCATCTCATATTTGGTCTTCCTCTTTTCCTGCTGACTTTTATTTCTCACAGCATTTTTGACATATCTAAAGAACCCTGACTTCTTATGATATGCCCAAAGTAGGAAAGCTTCAGTTTTATCATTTTTGCCTCCAGCAATGTTTTAGGTTTAATTTGTTATAGGACCCCCTTTTGTCTTTCTGGTGGTCCAAGGGTATTAATAGAGCTCTCCTCTAACACCATATTTCGAATCTTTTTTTTTTTCCTATCAGCCTTTTTCACTGTAAAGCTATTTTAGTACAAATAATTTATAACATTGCTTCTATAGAAAAAAATGTGTTCTAAGTACCCCAAAATTGCAATGAACTTGTAGAACACAAGCAAGTTATAACTTATATGTCTACCTTTCTATTCTATCTTTAGTAATACAAAGACATGACCTAATGGAAGAAGTATGAAAAGATAGTGAGATCAACGTTCACTACCAAACTGAAGCACCAACTTCTCATTGGTTCTAAAGAAAAAAATTCCAACTCTATGGTACATTAACTTTTTCCAACAATTTATTACAAGCACATGTAACTCTCAGTGCCATGATTTTTGCATTATAAAATTACTCAAACAGTAAAGTTACTTATTTAAATATTTTAATGTCTCTGAAAATTATATGACCTTACATTTCAAACACAGCTATTGCTAATATATTTACACAAATAATGACACCATATATTTTTATCAATACTACAGACAAAATTAAAAATAGAGTAATCACTGGAAGAAAATAAACTTCCATATCTCTTTCCAAACACTAACTCTTACCTCTGCATTTTCGTGGCCTTCTAGGGTCATACAAATATCCAGATCACTATCACGAAATCCAAATCCATTCTTAGAAGAGCCAAATAAGCACAATCTTGCCTTTTCTAAGCAAAAAAAAAAAAGTCAAAAGTTTTATAATTAGCAGGAAAGAGGAGTCTTCTATTACCTACCTATGGCCTAACACAAATGATCTTGTCCACATTTTATGCCCTAAATTACCAACCATTGACAGATATACTGAGAAATTCCAATACAAAACACTCATCTAAAATGCAGATCTTTTGCTCAAGTTCCCACACCCATGTATCTAACTGCTTCTTCCATTTTTCCAGAGATCATAAATTCAACAAGTCAAAACTAAACTATCAACTTCATCTCAAACCTACTATTATTTCTAAAATCTTTCTCAGAAAACAGTATCATCATCGACTCAGTTGCCCAAGTCAGAAATATATGTGTGATTCTTAACTCCTCCACATCCAAAAAAACCAACAAGTCTTTAGCTTCTTCCAACTTAACTATCTCATAAATTCATCCTCAACATCACTACCAATAGTTAAAACCAATACTTAGCCGAAACCGGTTTGGCTCAGTGGATAGAGCATCAGCCTGCGGAATGAAAGGTCCCAGGTTCGATTCCGGTCAAGGGCATGTACCTTGGTTGCGGGCACATCCCCAGTAGGAGATGTGCAGGAGGCAGCTGATCGATGTTTCTCTCTCATCGATGTTTCTAACTCTCTATCCCTCTCCCTTCCTCTCTGTAAAAAATCAATAAAATATATTTAAAAAAAAAACACAAAAAAAAACCCAATACTTAGAGATTTATGTCTTGGAAATAAAACTAGTTTTTTTAAGGCACAATTCAAGTAGTCCTATAAATATCACCTTAGTAAATAGAATTAATTTTCCTCCAAAAGTGAGACAGTAATCCATTTGATATAAATTATGATAGGACTATCTTCTCATTCTCAGTATCATTCGTTACAGATGCCACTTCACACTTGGAGTGCGGGGAAACGAGTTAAGTCGGCTCGCGTGAATTGCGCGTACTCCGCGGGAGCCGTCTTTAACTCGGTTCATATAGATTTGCGGTGGAGTGCGGGAAACGTGTAAACTCGGGCCGATTGTAACTGCGTATTACCAAATATTTGTTTGTAATCCACCCTTTTGGTGGATGGAACAAAACCAAAAGACAGAGCCATCTTATATTTTGGCGGGAAATTCACCCGCACTCCAAGTGTTCAAACAAGCTGTGACTTAACAGGATCAGGTTTTTCTCCCTATTAATTCTTCTAGACTATACATTTAGATAACAAACTCTATGTTTTCAAAACTTAATCCTCCCTTTCAGTTCTGATACCCTAACTTGAAATTTCAACGATAACTGAGATATAAAAGAAGTTACGTTCATGAGCAAATAAAAATGTGCATCAGTTTAATATAACAGGGACTTGAGATTTGGTCAATATTTTACATAATAGCAAATATAATTCAAATATGGAATCTTATAGCACATAACCGATTATCTTTTAAAAGTACTACTTCATTCTGATTATAAATCAATTCTTTATTCTTTTCTAAAATACTTGGCTATAGAACTCTTGATTCTTCACCCCTATACTCAAAACCTGCTCCTTCTGCTATTTTTGCCATCTCAGTTAAATAGCACCGCCCAACTATTAAGGTAAACACTTTGAACCATCCCTGACTCCTTTTCCTCACATCTAACATGTAATGCATCAGCAAATCCTGTTGGCTCTACATTCAAGATATATCCTAAATCTGACCATTTCTCATCTACTCTTTCAAATCACTGTTATATCTCATCTGAACCTATGTAGCAGCCTCTTAAATATTCTGCTTGCTTCTATTCTTATGAATCTATACTCTGTTCTCTCAGATAATGTCACTTAAGTGTTAAAATCCTCCAGAAGCTTCTCATTAGATACTCAATATAAAATTCAAAGTCCGTCTATCAACATCTATAAGGCCCCAATGATCCAGTCTCTAGCCTACCCCTCTAACCTCATCTTTCTAGTATAGTGACTTCATTCACTCCACTCCAGCCATACTGACTTCCTGGCTGGTCTTCAAACATACCAAACATAATCCAATCGTGGAGTGTTTATATTTGTTACTCTTTCTTTCTAGAATGTTCTCTCCTTAGATATTCATATTAGTTGCTCCTTCATATTATTTATGGCTCTGCTCAAATGTCACTTTATCAGAAAGAACTACGATAATACCCCATTACTATCCTTTTAACTCCTGAACTTTAATAGCATTTATTTCCTGATTTTATATTACATACATATTTGTTCACTTGACTATGTCTCCCCCTCTTAATATAAGCTTCATGAGAGTAGGTTTCACCTTTTATTAGCACTGTATCCCCAGCACCTAAAAGAGTATCTAACACATAACATTCAATAAATACTTTTTTAAAAAATGAATGAAACTCAGATCAAGTGACTATAGTAAAAAAAAAAAAAATCAATTTTTAACATATGACATACCATCATATTCTTTTTGAATAAACTTTTCCAAGCCCATTAAAATTTGTTCCCTATTGTGTTGTTCAGAGAAAGGTGGTGACAATTCATCTAAATTGAAAAAAGAAAAAAGTAAGAAAAATAAAATCTGAAAATATCTTCAATTTTTTATCCTAAAAACTTACTTAACATTTCTTTATTATTTGTTAACTTCTATGAATATAAAGTCATAAATGTTACTAGGGAAGGAAGGGGCAGAAACAGCAAAAAGGTAATTTTTATAGATCTAGATTTATGTTCATTTCACATGATCATTTTCCTTATGAAATATCTACAAATTATTTAAAATCATTTTCTTCAGACATTCTACTCTCCCATACGCTTGCTTGTTCTTCCCTCCTGGTAAGACTACACTCCTGTTGTTAAACTAGGTACCTGACCTTCAAATCTAACAGTTGCCACAAATGCCTGGTCAAGATTCACATCTTCCCTATAAGTTGCTTTACTCAATGAGTCTTCAAAGACCTTTCCTTAACTAAATTTCCTTAGTTCTCCAAACTACTTGTCAGTTTAATTTACACTGTCCTTTTAGTTTTCTAGTTGTTTCATTTATATTCACCTTATTTTTCTAAATAAGACCATATATAGGATGGGGCAAAAGTAGGTTTGCAGTTGTTCATATGGAAAATAATAATAAATAATAATATAAGAATAAACTCTGTGTTTCAAGTACTCTCAATTGTAAGCCTACGTTTGCCCCACCTTGTATTCCTTAAGAACAGTCTTTTTTCCTATCTCCTGCTCCAGATGTATCCCCAGGAGTTAATAGGGTAATGGGAACAAAGCAGTAATTTACTGTAATGAATTAAACTAATACTCAGCTTTTGAAAAACAAATGTAATATCAGCACTTGCAACTTGATTAGCTGAAATACATGTGATTATTGTTTTCTTAGAGTAGTGAACTATTTTGTATGATACTCTAATGGTAAAACGATATGATGCACTTGTCAAAACCCATAAAACTCTGCAGCACAAAGAGTGAACTTTACAAAATGCAAATTTTAAAAACTCATTTAGGAGGTCAGGCAATCTCAGGATGGAATGCAGGCTATAACTAAAAAATCTAAGTGTTATAAATGTACTACAGACCCAGTACACAGATTCGTGCACTGGTTGGGGGCATGGCCTGCGGGGATCGGCCTGCTGTGGGAGCGCTGCTCAGCCCTGTCAGCCGAGCAACTGTAGACCCGCCTTCTGAGTGGCTGCTTCCGCTGTAGGAGCACTGCTAATCCTGGTCAGCAGAGTGGTGCTCCACTGTGGGAGCGCACTGACCACCAGGGGGCAGCTCCTGGTGGTTGTTCTGGTCATTCCGCCATTCAGTTGATGGGCTTTTATATATAGAGATAAGACAACTTCACTCAAGGGAGTGGAGGAAAAGGTGCTAACCTAAGTAACTTTGAAAATTAGTGGAGTCTGTAAGACTAAAAGCAAAAGAAACTGCATATATAAGCACTATACTCTAATTGATAAAGTTGTTTTCCACAGGGGTACAGGATAACAATTCCAATAACGCTATAGATATGTACTTAAATGGAACAACTAAATAAATATGTGGCAGATGGTGGGAGCCAGATTTCTCACTATTGGAGTGGAAATTTATAGGTAAGAAGAGCTAGAATAAGCCATGTAATAATGAATTAGAGTTGGAGACATCAGTAGAAAGTCATGTTTAGCTTAATGTAGTTAAGATGGTTACATATAGAAATATTCGTAGATGTGTGTTCATATACATATACATACACATATTTATGTTAGTATACATACATTTTCTTGCTCAGAGGGCCTAGAAGCAACAATACCCAGTAATAACAGGCACCCTTGGTTTCGAATATCATTATCCAATAAAAGGAACCAGGGCTCTTGGGAGAAATGCAAGAAATATATACATGATGACCTGGAACATTTGTAATGCCAGAAAAGTAAGAAAGTGCTAAAAAAAACCACCACCAAAACCCATACACTGATGGGGGTTTATTAAAGGGACACATGAGTCAACTGAAAGAGCTCCCAACAGCCAAATCTGTAACAATTTGAGTAACAAAATAAAGTGTTATTAGATTAAAACCCGAAGTATAAAATATCCATGAGTCCATATTGAGATAAGTAACTGAATAAATAAAAACAAATGTAATGAATTATATTACATTATAAACAATGTGCGATGATTGAACCATTCAACTCTTAGGTATTTACCCAAGAGAAAGTAAAGCACATGTATATACCCATACTTACACATGAAAGTACACTGCAGATTTATTTGTAATAAAATTTAGAAACAAACCAAGTATTCATCAACAGGTGAATGGATAAACAAATTGTGGTACATCCATATAATGGAACATAAGTCAGCAATAAAAAGAAATGAACCATCATTGATACACACAATATGGATGAATCTCAAAATAATGATGCTAAGTAAAAGAAGTCAGACCTTAACTATCTCATAAATTCATCCTCAACATCACTACCAATAGTTAAAACCAATACTTAGCCGAAACCGGTTTGGCTCAGTGGATAGAGCGTCGGCCTGCGGACTGAAAGGTCCCAGGTTCGATTCCGGTCAAGGGCATGTACCTGGGTTGCGGGCACATCCCCAGTAGGAGATGTGCAGGAGGCAGCTGATCAATGTTTCTCTCTCATCGATGTTTCTAACTCTCTATCTCTCTCCCTTCCTCTCTGTAAAAAATCAATAAAATATAAAAAAAAAAGAAGTCAGACCTCTTCTCCTCCCCTCACCAAAAAAAAAAAAAAGAGTATGTGCTTTGTGATTCTATTTATATAGAACTCTAGAAAATGCAAACTGCCCGGCCATAGTGGCTCAGTGGACCTACGAACCAGGAAGTCAGGGCATATGCCCTGGTTGCGGGCTAGATCCCCAATTATGCAGGAGGCAGCCAGTTAATGATTTTCTCTCATCATTGATGTTTCTATCTCTCTCCCTCTCCCTTCCTCTCTAAAATAAATAAAAATATATTTTAAAAAAATACAAAACAGAAAATACAAACTAATCTACAGTAACAAAAAGCAGGTAAGTGGTTGCCTGGCAGGAAATGAAGATAAGGAAGGATAAAATGTTACATCAGAAATTTTATTTTACCTGGACACAGCAAATAATTTAGAAATATTTGCTATGTCACCCCAATAACTTTAATTTTAAAAAATTAATTTTTAAAAAGTGTTTACTGAGTGAAGATTCATCACAGATATAAATGTGTGTTGAATAAGGTATAGGGGTGGGCAAAAATAGGTTTACAGTTGTGAGCATGCAAAACAGTATTCTTCTTCTTGTATTACATATTTTTCCACACAAACAACTGTAAATCTACGTTTGCCCACCCCTGTATGTACGGATTTCCTCAAAATAACTTTATCCTTATCTCCCTCTATTGCCTTCCTTATATTCTACCAAACCTAAGGTAGTTATTCTCTCAGACAAATTAAACACCCTTTGGTTTCATGCATATTCTCTATATCTGAAAATGCAGTTCAAGGTCCAACTCAAATGTCACATCTTTAATTCCAATTCCTCTGATCCACCCCACTTAAAATTGTGTTTGCATTGCATTTTCTTTACCAATACTATAACAAGTAATACATTATGCTTCCAGTTATGGCAATGTTCATACACGTCTTGCACATTCATCTAGAGCAGCACTGTGCAAGAACATTGCAATGATAAAAATGTTCTCTATCTAGCCCTGGCCAGTGTTTCTCAGTGGTGTTAGTGTCAGCTTGCACACCAAAAGGCCTCAGGTTCAATTCCCAGTCAAGGGCATGTAACTGGGTTGCAGGTTCGAACCACAGCCCCAGTCGGGGCGCATGGGGGAAGCAACCAATCGATGTGCCTCTCTTACACTGATGTTTCTCTCTCCCCCACTCCCTTGTTCCCTTGGGGGAAAAACTCCTCAGGTGAGGATTAAAAAAAAAAAAGTTCTCTATCTAGACCAGGGGTGGGCAAACTTTCTGACTCGAGGGCCACAATGGGTTCTTAAACTGGACCGGGGGGCCGGAACAAAAGCATGGATAGAGTGTTTGTGTGAACTAATATAAATTCAAAGTAAACATCATTACATAAAAGGGTACGGTCTTTTTTTTTTTTTAGTTTTATTCATTTCAAACGCGCCGGATCCGGCCGTAGTTTGCCCACGGCTGATCTAGACTGTCCAATACAGTAGTTACTAGACACATGTAGCTATTCAGTACTTGAGATGTGGCTGGTATAACTGAGGAGCTTAATTGTTCATTTCAGTTCATTTTAATTAATTTAAATTTAAATAGCCACATATAGCCATATTAGCTAACACAGATACAGAGTCTAAGCTTCTTAAAAGCAACACATAGGGTCTCTATATTCCCCTTGGCATTTATCACAGTGCCCTGCACACAGTAGACATTTAATAAATATTTCTAGTTGGGTCTCTAAACTATTCAAAAACCTTTACCAAAACAAATGTAAGCAAACGGTTTTGAAATTATAAAACAAATAAATAAATATCAAAAGCTAAAAAAGAAATTAGTCTCAGTTCTAATAAGACTTACCAAAACATCTTTTACATACTAAATCAAGTATTTCCCGAAATCGATTTGTCATTGGTGGCAGAGGTTTTAGGTCAATTTTCCTGAAATCCTCTGGGCAATCATTTTTTGAATGGCCATCCTTTTTGCAGATGCTGCATACTATCGTTGGTGGCTAAACAAAGGCAAAAAAAATAATCTAATCTAATAAACTATTGAGGAACTTCATCATTACTTAGAAAGCAGGTCCAAACAGAATATTTTATGTAACTCAGTTCTGATAACCTGTGCTTTCAGAAAAGCATGTTAATGAAATGCACTGTTAAATGTAAAAAACATATTTTAAGCCAACCACTTTAACTTTCTTCCCCACTAAAATGGTATTGCCAAGGATTAGCTTTACCTAATGATGTAAAATAAAATACCAGGAGATGCAAAAGATATAGATTAATTCAAACAGTTTTATCAGTCCCCAAATGAAATACATGCATTACTATTTAATCTACTAAGATCTTTAACAAAGTAGATTACAGTTGTATGTCACTTAACGATAGGGGTATTTTCTGAGAAATGCATCATCAGGTGATTTTGTAGTTTTGTGAACATCACAGAGTGCACTTACATAAACCTAGATCAGTGATGGCGAACCTATGACATGCGTGTCAGAGGTGACACGCAAACTCATTTTTTTGGTTGATTTTTCTTTGTTAAATGGCATTTAAATATATAAAATAAATTTCAAAAATATAAATCTTTGTTTTACTATGGTTGTAAATATCAAAAAATTTCTATATGTGACACGGCACCAGAGTTAAGTTAGGGTTCTTCAAAATGCTGACACGCCGAGCTCAAAAGGTTCGCCATCACTGACCTAGATGCATAGTATAACCTACATGAAGGCTATATAGCCTATTGTTTCTAGGCTACAAGCCTGTACAATAATGTACTGAATACTGCAGGCAACTGTAACAATTTGCTAAGTATTTGCATATCTAATCATAGAAAAGATAGAGTAAAAATATGGTATAAAAGTGTGTGTGTGCATTTGCAGGGCAGAGTAAGGGCTGTGGATGGGACAACACTGGAGGGGGAGTAGACATCAGGAGGAGGGAGGAAGGAGGAGATAGAGGGAAGGAAGAGAAGGGGAGAAAAAGAGAGAGCAAAGAACAAAAGAACTACAGAGATAAAGACTGAGATGAGAAATAATAAGAGAGGGAGGAGGAGAAGGAGAGGGAAAGGGAGAAAGAGAAGAAGGGAGGAAGCAGACTGTGAGTGTGTGCAGGATATTGTGATGTGTGCGCGCACATGCTCACAAGGGCACACCGCATAGGTGCTAGGGCAGGGCACTATGGGCTCCCTCCTCCCCAGCTCTTACTCCCTTATCAACTCCAGACCCAGCAGTGGCTAGGCACATAGCTGGTGGACAGCAAGCTGAGCCTCACCTAAATCACCCAGAGCTAGCAGTAAATTCATACTATAGTCAGGTCCAACCTTTTCTTTCCACATCAAAAACAAACTTTTTTTGTTTATCATTTATTATAATCTTATGGGATCACCATTGTATAGGCAGTCCATTGTTGACCAAAAATATCACTATGCAGGGCATGATTATATAAAAAAATTTCAAGTGGCACCTTTCATTTCACTCTAAACATTTTCTATCTCAGAACTAATCAATCCTAGAACCCTTGCTTGCCTAGCTGGTTGAATTTATTACATTAGAAAGGTATTCAAGAAACCAAACTGTACAGCTGAACTCTAAAAATAAATCCGCTTCATACAAGGAACAACTCTTATGTTATAGCCACAAATGTAACTTCAAACCCTATGCCACAATTTAAAATTTATTCCAACACACTATCAGACAGAGAGGTAGCTAAAACAGTGAAATTTCCCCCAATTATTTAAAAAACAAAACAAACATATGGTAAAGGAAAAGCACAACTTTTTTCTTTATTGTAATACTAGAGACCCGGTGCACGAATTCGTGCACTGGTGGGGTCCAGCCAGTCCACCCCGATGGGGACTAATAGGGGTGGACTGACTGGGGCGAGGGGCCGTGGGTGGAGCCGGCTGGGGCGAGGGGCCATGGGCGGTTTGCCAGCCAGCCCAGCCCCTGATCGGGTGCCCACTCAGGGGTGGGCCGAGGGGCCGCAGGAGTTCCGGTCATTCCATTGTTTGGTCAATTTGCATATTAGGCTTTTATTATATAGGATGCCTAGATCCTAGAGTTAGCTTCTTCCTCCAGGATTAGTCTGGACATGTACCTAGCTATGAACTCTGATGAAAATTATATACAGAAACCTCTATTTGTAGGAATGCTGTGCTGTGGGCTAATTAACAGTAGTACAATAGGAATTTCTATCAGCTTTGCAAAACTTTTTTTAAATAATTCTTTATTGTTGAAAATATTACATATGTCCCTTTCCCCCCCCCATAGGTCCCCTTCAGCCCGCCCCTGAGCCCTCCTCCCCTGCAAAGCTTTCTAAAATGAAATGTTTATCAGAAAATTCTAGAAATATGTTATAGATAACTAGAAAAAATTAAAATGGGAGAAATAGCTACCTTAATATAAGTTTCCATGGAGAAAAAATCTATAAAATAGAAGAAATATAAACTACAGCTATGTAATTAAGAGGCTTTTCTAAAACTCTGCCATTTATTTCATCCTTTTAATAGTCCATATACCCTAAATACTGCAACCTAAACAAAAGCAATAGATGTATCCTTACAAAGAATGAAAGAACACAACGTAGTAATTATGTTAAGAAGTTTAAGCTGTGAAGGTAGAAACCAAGATGGCGGAATAGGTAAACACCGGAAATTGGTGCCTCGCACAACCACTTCAGAAATACAACTAAAAGACAAAACAGACTTCACCCAGAACCACAGGAAGGCTGGCTGAGTGGAAATTCTACAACTAGAAGGAAAGAGAAAAGCACACTGAGACTCAGAGGAGGTGCAGAAGTAAAGTGCAGAGGTACGGAGGCACACACGGAAAGGGCTGGCAACTGAGGACGCAGTTGTCTTTTTCAATGGGGAGAAAATCTCAAGCTCCTGACTGCTCTGAACTCCAGTTCCGGGCGAGTCTCTGGGGACCCAGACTCATACAGGAGAAACTGGACTGTCTGGCATCGGTTGGAACTCGAGGGCGGCTTTCTCTCAGAGGTGCTTGCAGCGATTACCTCGGGACACTGAGACCCGGGGCCTCTTAAGGCAGGACTGAGGATCAGCCATAGCTATCTGCTCCGCCCTGTTGATTCCCTGAGACCCCACCCACCCAAGCTGTGCGCAGAGGCTTTTGCATATGAATGGCCTGGCCCTTTGCAATCTAAAATTACCTAACAAACTGTAGCTGGGTCAGAGAGACCCAGAACATCCAAAATAAGGCCCAAGGCCCCACAGCAGCTTGCACTGCTTCACAGCTGGGCCTCATCTGGGCACCTCCAAACCCCAAACAAAGAAGAGGAATCTGCATATCTCTCCATAGCTCCTGCTGGGTAGCCTTAGGCAGAGGCTAAATTAGCACCTCCTTAGATCCAAGAGCCAGTGTACCCAGTGGTCAGAGTGGGACCATCCAGATTACAACTCCTCCGATCCATAAGGGACATACTAAGGGGGCAGACTCAGTGAGCACCAAAGCCCCACTGAAGCAAGTCTTGCCCCTAAGGGTGTCTCCAGCACAGAAGTTCTCCCACTGTAGACACAGGTGATTCTCACAGCCAATTGGCCTGGAGGTAAATTCCTCCCAGTGATACCTACAACAATCAAGGCTTAACTACAACAAGACTGTGCAGAAAGCCCACAAAGAGGTGCACCAAGAGTGTCCACCTCAGGTAATTGGGGAGGCTGAGCCACTGGGCCCTATAGGACACCTAGCACAGAAAGCCACTCTATCAACACAGCGAAGCATAAAAAAATGCGGAGACAAAGAAACAGGTCACAAATGACAGAAATGGAGGAAAGCAAATTACTGGATATAGAGTTCAAAGGTTATATGGTTATAAGGTTTTTCAAGAATTTTCTAGAAACCGCCAATAAATTTAGTGAGACCCTCAATAAATCTAGTGAGGCCCTCGAAGTTATGAAAAAGGACCAACTAGAAATTAAGCATACACTGACTGAAATAAAGGATATTATACAAAGTTCCAACAGCAGACTGGAGGATCGCAAGAATCAAGTCAAAGATTTGAAATACGAAGAAGCAAAAAACACCCAACCGGAAAAACAAAAAGAAAAAAGAATCCAAAAATATGAAGATAGTGTAAGGAACCTCTGGGACAACTTCAAGCGTACTAACATTCGAATTATAGAGGTGCCAGAAGAAAAGAGAGAGCAAGATACTGAAAACCTATTTGAAGAAATAATGACAGAAAACATCCTCTACTTGGTGAAAGAAATAGACTTACAAGTCCAGGAAGAACAGAGAACCAACCCCAAACAAAAGGAATCCAAAGAGGACCACACCAAGACACATCATAATTAAAATGCCAAGAGCAAAAGACAAAGAGAGAATCTTAAAAGCAGCAAGAGAAAAACAGTCAGTTACCTACAAGGGAGTACCCATACGACTGTCAGCTGATTTCTCAACAGAAACTATGCAGGCCAGAAGGGAGTGGCAAGAAATATTCAAAGTGATGAATGCCAAGAACCTACAACCAAGATTACTTTACCCAGCAAAGCTATCACTCAGAAGTGAAGGTCAGATAAAGATTTTCACAGACAATAAAAAGCTAAAGGAGTTCATCACCACCAAACCAGTATTATATGAAATGCTGAAAGGTATCCTTTAAGAAGAGGAAGAAGAAAAAGGTAAAGATACAAATTATGAACAACAAATACACATCTATCAACAAGTGAATCTAAAAATCAAGTGAATAAATAATCGAATGAACAAAATAAACTGGTGAATATAATAGAATCAGGGGCATAGAAAGGGAGTGGACTGACTATTCTGGGGGGGGGGTAGGGGTGTGGGGGTGCGGGAAGAGACTGGACAAAAATCGTACACCTATGGATGAGGACAGTGGGGGGTGGGGGGGTAAGGGCAGAGGGTGGGGTGGGAACCGAGTGGAGGGAAGCTATGGGGGGAAAAAAGAGGAACAACTGTAATAATCTGAACAATAAAGATTTAATAAAAATTAAAAAATAATAAAAATAAAAAAATAAAAAAACAAAAATAAAAAAATAAAAAACAAAAAAATTAAGCTGTGGATAATTAATTACTGATAAAACATTAAAACTGGATACATTCCAGCTGTTGTTTTTATAATATTCCACCTGGTTTACACATAGTCTATATAATCAGTACCCTGGGTTCTAATAATATTTCAAGTATATATACTGTACTTGAAGCAACGTGACTTAGCTAAAACTTTCTTTTATTAACAAAGTAGTTAATGCTTATTTTCTGTTCATTGGGGTATCTTATTTTCTGTAATTTATCAAGTTAAAGTTCAGACTATGCCTCTTTAAAAGTAGGAAAGTTAATGCCCTGGTCGGTGTGGCTCATTGGTTAGAGTATCAGCCCGAGCACCAAAGGGTCTCAGGTTGCAGGTATGATCCCCAGCACCATTTGAGGTGTGTGCTGGAGGCAACCAATCAATGTCTCTCTCTCACATTGATGTTTCTCTCTGTCTCTCCCCCTCCCTTCCACGCTCTATAAAAATCAATGGAAAAAAATATCCTCGGGTAAGGATTAACAAAACAAAAAACCCTTAAAATAGAATACCATTATAATTCACAAACCTTGTATTCTCATTTGTGGAAGAAAAAATAATCATTGCATATAAAAAAAATAGGCAAAATTTAAAATATATGTGCCTTTGCCAAATTGATTTTCATAAAATATCTGATAAATGATTTTCATATATAAGAAAGCAAAGCAAATCAACTAATAATAAAGTGCTGAAACCTTTTGGGGTTTTACATTTCTTTAAAGGCAACTATTAGCAAAAATGCAGTAAGTAAAATTTAAAAATACACTAAAATATTATTCCAAAACAACTATTTTTATATTTCTATATCTAAAAACTATAAATACAGAGCAATATAACCACCACAACATCTTACAGATTGTTTACAAACTGTATCCTACCTTGCCAGAGGTTAAAATAAACTTATCAAACACATAATGTAACTCCTGGGTGGGGTGGTTATCATCATCAAGGTCAGAAGCATCTTCTGTAGCTTTGCAGTTGCAAGAGGTAGCTGATGTGTCGGTGCACATACTCTGATGTGAACTCTCTGATTCTAAATTTGACCTGCAGTCTGTACCAACAGACTCATTTAGGTCAGAGGATTTACAATCAATGCAATAACATTGGCTGAGATCCTTTTTTAAACAAGTTTCTGAAGGAACTAAATCATCTTGTTTCTTAATTGATTCTGGCTCTAATTCTCTGCCTTCACTGGTAGAAAGAGATGAAGATTCCTGTCCATGTTCAGCCAAAACTAGTTCAGTTACCAACAAATTGTCATCTTCAGTAATACATCTCCGTGATGTACATTTCATTTCATCATATTTACCAGGCTGACCTCTTTCTGCATTTATTTTTTCTGTGCTTTTCCCAAGTTGAATGCAACAATTAGATGTCTTATTGTCAGTCTTCACTGGTTTCTTATTGCTTATTTTCCCTTTTTCTTTTTTCGTGGAATCCACTGTAGATTTATCTGCATCTTTCCTCTGAGGACAGGCAAAATACCGATAAGCTGCCCTGAATCTCTCCACAACATATTCATAAACAAGCTGGCTGTTTAAGCTCCGTGCAACGTTCCTCTTGACTGAAAATGGATCTAATAAAAAAGAAAATGGTCAGTTGCTAAGTATTTACTAACTAACTACATTTTCAAGTTTATACAAACAGATTTTAACTGCTGGACTGTAAGCAGAGTACATTTTCCCAAAGTTTTTCTAAACTAAAGTCCCAATGAGAGTCCTTGAAAACTTAGTAGGAAAAATACAATAGCAACTTTGTTTCCTCTGTTTCTGTCTTAACATAAAAAAAAAACTTTTAGACAATAATAATAAGATAATTAATGAGAGAATGGCTAAGGCCCAACTCAGTAATTACAAAGTTTCAATGATGAAATTGCTGAAAACAACTATGTCAATACGCCTCCCAATAGTGTCACTGAATGAAAATTTTCAAGTTCTGGGACCCATTAATAATTTTAATTTTCATAGTATTCTTTAGTCACATACTCCTTGCAATTTAAACAAATAAAACATAACCTAAACTCTCAAAGCTTCAAGTTAAAAAAATACTGACTTTAAGATTTAACTTTAGTGAGATCAGAAAATTAAAGAAAGAAGAGAAACAAAAGTAGGAAGAGACCTAAGAAAGTAAAAATGAAAACAAAATTTAAATGATGATCCAATCTAAAATGACTATGTTGAAAAGGCTTGCATTAACTCATACTTCTGAAAATGTTTATAGGTTTTTGGATTTTATAAGCCTTAAATACAAATATGTCAAGGAAAAAAGAACAGTACCACCCAAAAAACAATCCATATTTTCTCCACTACTGAAAATCATTAAGTAAAAAGATTAACAGGACAGGACTGCTATGGTTGAAGCATCTGTTACTTTTTGCTGTTATCTAAATAAAGGGTTTAAAAAGCTTTTCCTAGCCTCTTTTCCCCTTCTAGAAGAAAAAGGAAGAAGAGAAATTATGATGGCTGCAGGTTTCAGAGCTCATTTACTATATGTAAGAAGTATAAAATGTGAGGACATGCTTGAGTGTATGAGAATATGTGTGGGTTCAATTCACACTAGGAGGCCAAAAGTGGGTTGAGGGAACAGAAGAATGTTAAACAAACTAAAGGCTAAACTAAAATGATGCACAGAAATTCAATTTCCTACCTATAAAAAGTGAAATATTGTGAACTTAAAATTTGTATTAAGAATTCAGAAGCGAGTGCACTATCCCTCCAGGGAGCACACCTTTGCCTTGCCCTTCCCTCTCTTCTTCCCCCAAAGGTATGCAGTTCCTAACTCTAAGGGACTCCCACAAGACTTGCATCCAGGGAGCAATGGGCCCTGACTTCTCCCAAAGGCCCCCTTTTTTCTGACTTCTTAGTGAGCCAAAGCAGCCTAGCCTAGGCTCATTTCACTGTCCGGTCTCTCCTAGTGCTTCTTCTCTCCTAGACCCTTCCTAGTTTCACTGTCCCATTTTAACAAACATCCTCTAAAAATCACCTGGACTTGTGCTGTGAAATCTTTCCTGTACAAAGTCAAGAATCCACACACTACCAGCTGGCCCAAGGCAGGCAAGCTCAGGGCCAGGTCCCCTTTCCAGTAACAAAACTGCCCCTCCCCTCATCATGTCCTGCCCCATGAAACCCTATTCTCCACTTATTTTTTTAAATGGTACAATTAGCATTTTGTTGTCATTTATAATCAGATGGCAGTGGAGTATATAGTCTCTATGCTTGATCTTTCTTTTATGTAAATAAAAAAATTACAAGAACTGATAGCTGCTTGTTTTCAGAAAACCTGATTAAACTAATTCATTGATGGTGGCATCAAGTTTTTCCTTATTAGCCCCAGAAAATTCACCCTTTTGTCCTTTTGTAGCACTAGCTGGTTTGTCTCAGTGGCCTATGGACTGAAGTCTTGGGTTCAATTCTAGTGAAGGGCATATGTCCAGGTTGCAGGATCGATCCCCAGTAGAGGGCATCAGGAGGCAGCCAATCAATGATTCTCTGTCATCATTGATGTTTCTATCTCTCTCTCCCTTCCTCTCTGAAATCAATAAAATATATATATATATATATTTTTTTAAATTTACAAGCCATTCTATTAATTCCTATACCTCTAAAGATCTTAATGTTGGGGGGAGGGGTCAATTGGGGAAAAATAAGGCATACGTAAAACTTTAGACAATAAAAAAAAAAGATCTTAATGTTCTTAGGATTTGATGTGAAACCTGAGTTGTCAACATCAACTGTTCTTTTTTTCTTTAGTGTAGTCACATTTAACAGATGAGATCATTTAGAAGACAATAAAAACTGGATTTTAAAATTATAGTTCAACAATTTTATGACACAAAGTTCTTCAAAATGATCTTGTAGAATTAATATAACTTCTATTTTTCTATATTTTTGAAATTTTTTATAATTAAAAATTAAATAAAGACATGTAAGTAAGCTAATATCCCGAACCAATCTAATATTTACAGATTGGAAATATTTAAATGAGTATTAATCCTATAAACAATAATGGACTTGAAAAAGAATTTATCTAAAATATATGACAACCTGCTGAAACCGGTTTGGCTCAGTGGATAGAGGGTCGGCTTGCGGACTGAAAGGTCCCAGGTTCGATTCCGGTCAAGGGCATGTACCTGGGTTGCGGGCACATCCCCAGTAGGAGATGTGCAGGAGGCAGCTGATCGATGTTCCTCTCTCATCGATGTGTCTAACTCTCTATCTCTCTCCCTTCCTTTCTGTAAAAAAATCAATAAAATATATTTTTAAAAAAATAAAATAAATAAAAAAATAAAAATAAAATATATGACAACCTAGTGGCATAGATAGTGCTACAAAGTCAAGGGGTAAAATTTGTAACATTGAATTAGACACAGATGATGAGTGACGCACAAAAATTATTCTCCAAATGAAATATATCGTACCTTCAATGGCTATTCGCCTTTTAGGCCAGTTTTTGTTTTCTCTTGTTAAAATATCTTTTATCCGTACACATATGACATATTCCTCCAAAGCAAAATCCAGTGTGTAAAATTTTAGCAGCTCTAACCATAACTGTCCCAGGGATACCTGATTTGGTGTTTCCAATGTTAAAGGAGACTGGAAAAGAAAAAAATACTTTTCATTTACACTTCACGAACTAATGAATCATTTACTTTTCACTTTAAAAAATCCTTAGAGATCACTTTTTCGAAAACTAAGCATAAAGGAGCAACCTGCCAAAAAGCAGTTTGTGGCATAGCTGGGAACAGAGTGCCAGTTTACTAACTCCTAGAATTTTGTGTTCTTTCCACTAGACCAGAAATTCTCAATCTTTGCTGCACATAAGAATCACAGTGGAAATACTAAAATACACTAATATCTGAGTTACACACCACTCTCACCTCCCATATCCTTCCCAAGATTCCGATTTAACTGACATGGACTATGGACTGGGTATTGAGATTTTTAAAGCTTCCTAAGTGATTCCCAGGTGCAGCCAAGGTTGCAAACCACTGTATAACAATCACCACAGCTCCTCACTGCAGTAATTACTTTTAAAATCTAAGTAAATGTCCTGGGCTTGCAAAAGCTAATGCCTTCATTTGACAAACGTTTATTTAGAACTTACTATGTCCCTGGCATTGTGCTGGGGATATTAAAAAAATGACAGAACAACATGAACATTTCAGTATTGTTCACATTTCTATAGTTTAGTTCAGAACTGGAAGTCCAGAAAGACTATATCCTTCTAGATGACACAATCCATGGATATTCAACTTTCGTTCTCTAGCACTTAAGAAAATGCTTGGCATGTAGCAGGCCCTCAATAAATGAATGCTGAGTGATTAAATAAGCAAGCCGCACCCTAAAGGACCATCGGGCCTTTATTTCTCCACCAATCTGCCAACATAATTCCCATATGCTAAAGTTTTGGTTACAGCCCAATTCCTGAAGGAAATTTTCCTTGTCTAAATGAAAAATATACACAGAATTACTTTGACATGATTCAAACAACAGAAGTCTGACAAAATGAGTTGTAAATTCATCAGGGAATCTTGGTACTGAAAAACTAAACCAGATCAACCCCTTACATTACAGATGAGGAAAATGAGGCCAAGAGGTTTACTCAAGATTAGTCAGTTAACCTACTATTAAAATAGCTTCAATAGAAGTCATCACAAATACTATAGATAGAAAAGTCAAAGAAACAAACAAAAAAAAAGCTCACTTTGCCATGTTTTCCCTTTATGGCATTACTTTGGTTGTCTTTTTCTGTCTTCTTGGTATCAGCTTTTGGTTGGTCTGCCTTAGCTTTGTTTTCCTCAGCAATTGAGTTTTTCTCAGTTGCACTACTTGAATTATGTTCCCACTTCACAAACTTCTCTTCTATTATGCCCTTCAGCTGAAAGTCATCCATTCTTTTTGAGTCAAAGCCTTCAATCTATATAAAAAGGCATTCCAAATTGGTAGTGGAAAAATTATTTTTTTTTAAAAAATGGACAGACAAATCAGAATTCCAGTTTAAACTGAACAGAATACTCTGCAAGAGCAAACTATATATGTACATACACATGTCACAAACTCATGCTTACCCAACTTCCAAGTAAACAAGGAAGAAGAGGGGGTTTTCTTTGTTGTAGAAAAAACATCACCATTAAAGCAAAACAATAAGAAGGAATTCCACCATCAGTTTGAGAATCAATATAGCACAACTGCAAAATGACAGGGGAAAAGTACCACCATTTATTTTAGCTTTCTGTAATTTTCTTTCTTCCTTTCACAACAAAAGTAGTCCCCCCGCCCCCCCCGAACCATAATCATTGTAAAAAGCATAAAATGTAATTATCTATATATATAAAAGCCTAAGCAACCGTTTGACTGGTAACTATGACGCACACTGACCACAAGAAGGCAGACGCTCAACCACAGGCATAGAAACATGGAACAGACTGATGAATCTCAGAGGGAAGAGGGGAGGGGGGAGGACAGGACGAGATTAACCAAAGATCTTATATGTATACTTGAGGCCCGGTGCACAGATTCATGCACCGGTAGGTCCCTCGACCTGGCCTGCGGGGATTGGGCCGAAACCGGC